GTGATGAAGCCCATTAATTCACTGAGAAAACAGTGAATTAACTGACTTCTATTTGGAACCACAAAAGTTCCCCCTCAATGGCCATTAGAATAAATGCAAGTCTAAGGCACTTCTGCATTGTTTTTACATTTTATACCTGGAAATTATACATGGTTTAAAATCTAAATTCATATTTAAATTGTTTAAAAACTGATCATTAAATTGCCTCTTTTATTGTGTTACACCAAAGTTTTGAAGTATTTAATGTATTATGGCATTTTCATGGAAGCAGTAAGAATGAACATAATTTTTCACAGAACTTTATCCAGCTCCTGAAAACGTTCTTATTCACAACTTTATAGATAATCAGATCATAGGTCAAGACATCTCAAGCTCCTCTCTTTTAATTTTTCATCGTTTCTTTCACAGGAATAGGATATAGTTTTGTAAATACCTCCCTCTGTAAAAACACAACCTTTATTTTGATAAAGAGCACAAACAAATGTATTTCTGATGTCTTTATCTGTTTCTCGTGGAGGTCCTTCATGAAAGTAATCATTGGTGTATCCCTTTGAAATCAGAGAAAGCTACCTAACATTAAGAAAATGAAATCATACATAGAGTAAAATTCACATAGGAACACGGTCGATCCAGCTTCTGTAACAACACCATCAAAATGTCAGAGTCAAGGTCATGCTGCTCAGAGGAAGGGATTCAATAAGGTTCTTTATATGTAACAGTTACATGTCGGAAATATGGTTGCGCAGAGCACCTCCTGGGGCCGTGTTTTTTTTCCACATGCTTATAAATCACCGAACCGTAAACGCCAATGTCAGTGGGTCAGAATAGAAGGACCGAGGGCGAGGGTCTATTTATAAGAATAACAGAGCAAGCTTTTGAACAGGTGCTGAACAGCTCCTCCAGACAATGGGCTTGGCTCACCTCGCGCATTCTCACAGTAAATCAATGAGCTGTGACTCAGGCTATTTTTGCCATTGCAGTTTGGTCAGCTGATTGTTTGGGGAAACATTTTCACAATACCTCTGGGTAGACTCTCTTGCTTTTTAAAGTCATATTTGGTAACAGATATTTGTTCTCATGCACACGTTGAATGGATGACGAAATAAAATTAGCTCCACATCCCCAGTTCCACCCTCGCTCCCACTGCCTGGCTGCCGTCCTGACCAGCTGCACATTCAATCTCTGCACGCCATATTTACACCTTCTGTATATGGTTACTGCCCCAAATGTATGCTTCTGTTTAAATTCTGCTACATATGTGCTCAAATTCACACATCGCGGCGCCTGTGGAGGCCCCAGTGTGGTTACTTGTGGTACTAAACTCAGCAGCTGACGTCAAAGGGCCAATGCAAAGGAAGAAAAAGTGAGCGAGACCAAGAAAGGTAGAGAAAGCTGAAATGAAAGAAGGCCATCTGGTTGAAGAATAACACTAACTGGAAACCCAGAAAGAATTCACAATGTATGAGAGCTGTCATGGCCGGGTATTAAATGTGTATTTGCTTTAATGAATGCGGTCAGTCCCCGTCTGGCTGAAACTGTGGAACAACAGAGAGTCTGACAGCGGCAAGAATGTTGCGGGTGCTGGTTTCAGCATTAGGCAGCATTAAGTTAAAGCCAAAAGCATGCAACCAACTCCAAAGCCTCAGGAGCGAGCTTAGCACCTTCCACAGCGTGATATACACAGTTTGGATTAGAATACAGAAAAAAAAAGAAGAAGTCATCATAAAAATGGCCAAGCCAGTTTGATCCATTACATCTCACTACGTATGAGTAACAGGTAATCGTTTGATCATGCTGATGGGTTTTACGTATCTAACTCAGGAGCGCTTTAATTGCAATTATTGGCCTTTTTGACATCATGCACCCTGAGATGATGGCCATGCTCAACTCTTACCTCCTATATATTCCTTGAAGAAAAAATGGGATTAGCCACAAGTACTGGTCTTATTCTTCAGCTGCCAGACAAAGACAAGTTCAATCATCTGCCTCCCAACCCACAGCGCACACTTAATACAGCTCTGTTTGTCATGTGACCACATATCTTTTCTATGACTGGTCAGGATGGTCAGTTCTATTGTTGGAGGCAGACAGATGAGTTATACCTGGACAGACATGCTGCCTTTGAGTGCTCACCGTAATCCGCTACACATGAAGGGAGAAATTGGAAATACTTTTCACTTTAGAGTCATTTTAAAGAGGGCTGTCAGAACGTCATGGTTTTTGTTCCTTTAGAGAAATGACACCACAAAGCTGTGCTCTGCTGGAGTGGAAGTACAATTGCCTTCAAACTTGTACCTTCAATTACACCTCAGCCAAATAATTTCATACAGAAACATGTTTTTGCGATTTTGACCATCGTCAAACTCATTATATTCAACTTTTTCCAAGATTGCCTATTACATATTCATTTTAAGGACAGGATTTCTAGGCATAGCCAGGTGGAGGTGTGTTTCCACTTTGGTGGAGGCCTTATCCAGTGAACGGCAGTTCTGCTGTAGAAAATGCCTTGAGCAGATACAGGAGATGAGAGGAGAATGACCAGACTTCCCCCAGCTGCTGGGAATTTGGCATAAATAACACAAATCCATGGACCTTTTATTAATACCCTTTCATTCTGAAAGCAAACAGGGTCCAACCTAGTACTAGGAAGGTACTAGATCAGGGGTGGGCAACTCCAGGCCACGAGGGCCAGTGTCCTGCAGGTTTTAGATGTGTCCTTGATCCAACACAGCTGATTCAAATGGCTAAATTACCTCCTCAACATGTCTTGCAATTCTCCAGAGGCCTGGCAATGAACTAATCATCTGATTCAGCGTGATATCTGAAACCTGCAGGACACCGGCCCTCGAGGCCTGGAGTTGCCCACCCCTGTACCAGATCAATCCTTTTGTAGCAAGTACTACAAAGCATGGGTCCATCCAGTGGTGGTGGTGTCATGGTGTGAGGGTATTTTCTTGGGCTGTTTCGTACCAATTTAATTCAATTACATTTAATTTATGTAGTGCCAAATCACAACAGTTGAGGCTGTTTATATTGTAAAGACCCTAAAATAATAGAGATAAAAAAACCCAACAATCAGATTACCTCCTGTGAGGAAGTACTTGGCAAGAGTGGGGAGGAAGAAATTATATTATATATGGTTATAACACCAGATATTGTTGCTGACCATATCTGTGCCTTTATGACCAATTTAGTACCAATTCTCTGATGGCTGCTTCCAGCAGGACATTGCACCATGTCACAAAGCTCACATCATCTCAAACTGGTTTCTTGAACATAATAATGAGTTCACTGTTCAAATGTCCTCCACTGTGTTCAGTTCTCAACCCAGGAGTCATGTATATATCTATCCACTTAGCACTTTTAATTCTTATTCTTATTTTTATATTTTTATGACAGTATGTTTGCACTGAAGCACCGCAGCAATTTCCTAATGTTGTAAACCTGCTCAACATCTGGCAATAAACCCTTTCTGATTTCTGATTTCAGTGGAGCACCTTTAGGATGTGGTGGAACAAGAGATTCAGAATACAAGAAACAAAGGCAGTTGTGAAGGCAAACGGCAGTCCAGCCTGGTACTACTATAGAGAAGCATCTGGTGAGTGTATTAAGTGAAGGTGTGAAAGGAAACTCAACAATGTGGAATACCTCAATGTATTTATTGCTGTTGCTGAGTCAAGGTTACAATGTTCAACACATTCCTCCGCTTGGAAACTGCCTGCTTGTATGACATTTGGAGAGAGACTACAGATAATGTATTCTGCATAGGCTTAGCGCTACACAAGGAACAAGTGTCTGGTTAAACATGGAAATTTAAAAAGTGGACACAAGGCTGTAGAAAACAAAACAAAACAAAACACAACATTATGAAACCATTACATTAAAAAAATACAAAAACGTCACATTTTATCATGCTTAAAAATATTTTGGTCCAGCTCCCCTGCTCTTTTCAGGAACCATGGAATGTGATTGTCAGATTGTTGAGCAGTAACACCAATCAATTTAATGCCCTGACAAACAGTTCATATTCTTATAAGCTTGTGCTGCGCGAAAACGTGAAAAATCACAAGTCAAAATCATGCTGAGCTGCTAGGAGGCTTTAAAGTACTGTACCTCGGCTGTCCTAAATGCTGTCATTGCAATCATAAGGCCAGAAGTTTTAGATAGTGGTAAATATCCTTGTTACTATGACCTTGCTATATGTTTAGGCACCCTGATTTTACTTTGTATGCCCTCAATATGAAAAGTATTGCTGAGCATAAGAGTGTGCATAGAGGCAAAAAAGAAGTTAAAGGCAGATTAAAAAAACATGTCCTACATCATAAAACTTTAAGGCAGCAAAGGCACCACGTGCAACTGCTTTTAAGAGGAATGTCTGAAGATGTTTTAAAGTGTTCAAAAGCTAGAAAGAACTCAAACCCCCCCCCAAAAAAACATTAAAACATAAATAAAAAAAAAACAAATGACATGAAAGGACAATAAACGTCAAAATGGCCTTCTGAATATCCAACACTCCTGTCACCTTCAAAATCAACTGCCTGTTGGTGAATGAATAAAAAAGCAAAAAAATACCTTTTGTTATAAGTATACAGATGTTATATATGATACAGTATGATAGGTCATAGTCAAAACATCACATGTGCTAGCATATATTACTCAGACCATTGCTGCACTATTGGTAAGACAATAAAAGTGAAATAAGCTAAACTCTAGAAGTGCTTATATTTCTATCCTGAACAGGTGAACGTTGAATAATATAGCATTGTATGAAGCTTTTGCTTTAAATATAAATAAAAAAAAGAGAGAGATGGAAAATATTCTGAGGGAGAGAAGTGATATCGCCCATCTCTTTGGAATGTGGAAACTTTTGAACTCATCCACTCAGCACGGAGTACAAGACATAAATCTTAATTCTATTAGTTTTATTGTCTTCCTGGCAGGATTTTATAAAGTAATTAGTGATTTTAAATGTCCAAATTTCACAGCATTTTGTTGTTATCATACTTTTTTTTTTTTTTTTTTTTTAGAAAGCAGAAATTATTGTGCAAAGGCACTATACGTGGTAAGCCTATAACAATATGCTGATGCTGTTTCGGTACAGTGCTCGGACAGTGTCTGTCCTGTCCCTGCGTGCTCTTGGGGGTCCCTCCTGGGGGTGTGGTATTTGGTTCTTAAGGAAAAGTCAAAGAAGATTCTTGGATTGTCGTGGTCCCCCAGCTTTAGTGGCTCCTTCAAGACATTAGTGTCCCATACCTATCGAAAGACACAAAAACGAGTACATCAGTGGCCTGACTCCAAGTCCATATTCCCACACAGGTCTGTGTTAAACCGAGCAGTGAGGTGTTTAAATTTAGCTCCACAGAAGTCTGAGTTTATTGGACTTGTTTCAACTTCAAAACAAGGAGTCAAAATAGTTTTGCTAATTTTCCATATGGTACTGTGGAAAAGTCTTGACTCACCACTCATCTTTATATTTTGATTACAAGGAGCAAGACTTTGGTGAAATATTGTTGGTTTTGAGCAAGAGTTCTTCAAGTTTCCCGAAGGTCTTTTATATTTTTTAAAAGACCACCCCTTGTAACAGAGAAATTAACTTTTTTGTTTGTTAAGCTACCTAACGCTGACCTGTGAATCATTTAAGTTAAATGGAATAACAGACAGCTTAGCAAAGAACCAATTTTAAAGAGTAAGTCGTGCCCTTAAGAAACAGGAAACAATCCAAGCAAAGACCTAACGCAGGATCTGAAAGATGGCCTTTCTTTGAATCCATCTACTGATCACTAATATCAGAAATGCTCCCAGTGGAAAGAAGTCATGTCAAGTCACAGAGGTACTTCAAATTACATGAGAACTGGTCTCAAAATCAGTGGCAAGTGAACTTATGGAGTGATGATTACAAATTATATTTTTGGTTCAATTCGTCACAGCAGTGAGTACACAACCATCTGTAATGATTTGGGGGCTGCATTTCAGCCAGTGGTGTTGGGGTCTTGTCAAAATACAGGGAATTATGAATGCAGCAAAATACCATCCATCGTGCAACAGAACGAGGAAAGTGTCTGATTGGCAACAGCTTCTTTTTTCACTGTGATAATGATGCCAAACACACTCTCAGTCCATTACAAACATATCGGGACAGGCACCAGAAAACTATCAGTCATGGATTGTCCTCCCCAGAGCCCAGATCTCAACATTACTGACACAATGTGGGATTGTCCTGACAGAAAACGATGCAAAAGGCAGTAAACATCCAGAGAAGAGCTTTGAATGTCCCCTCAACAAGCCTGGAGAATTACTCCTTAAGAGATGACAAAAACTAAGAGTACAGATTGTGTTGAAGAATAATGGTGACTTTCACACTCATGAGGATTGTACACAATCTGTTTTTGCCTTATATGCTGTACTTCAATGTTTCAATAAAACACTGCACCTATTTTCCATTTTTCTATCAAACTATAAAGAAATGAGGAGTGGCTTGAGATTTTTGCATAGTATTGCATTTCTAGAAACATGATTGTTATCGTACTAATTTTCAATTCAACTTTTCATTTAACACCATCATCAGGTCAAAACGTTCAGTTTCTCCAGTTAACCACCAAATTATTGCAGATGTTTTTTTCTCTCAGCCTAGCAATCATGCTAACAGGTTTACTGACACGACTGTTTGGCTCAAAGCATTGTTGTTTTTAAGCACTTAGGGAACAAAAATAAGTACTTACTGTTTCATAGTTCAATCCAACATCTAAAACAAGCCACATAATAATATTAACAGAGGTCCTAATGCCATTCAAGACCCTTGGTTACTTCTGATTTATTAAAAAAGTCGAATACAAGCATTTCTTTTGAATATTTCTGCATTGTTGAAGGACAGCAGATAAGTTGTGCACCCTGATTCATAAACTGCTACACTCAGTAAGCATTGAATTCTACCTATTTTCAAGTGTCTACATAATTTTGGAAACTCTCCAAGCATGTGGAGAGCGGGTGGGATGTAAACTTCCACGCTGTCCACTCTGGTGTCAGATGTCTGTACGGTGTGACAGCCAACTCTTAGTAAGAAATAAAAAATAAATAAATAAAAAAAAAAAAAGAAGAAACAAATTCTTTCTCATCCTCTGAGTCAGACTGCTATGGTGTGCTAATCTCGAACATACCAGTTATTAATGTGACAAACCGGCTTGGCAGGAATGCTGCTTGTAACGCTGCCCGGATCTAAGCAACAGACGTGGACGTGTGCAAGAGTGGAAAAGCTGAAAGGTCTGAGTGGTGTCAAGAAGGCTGTTGAGAGCATTCATAAAGGTGAAATTGGTTATGTGTGCGCGTGTGTGTGTGCTCTGAACAAACACCGCATTACGCTGACATGTGTGGAATCTCTCAAGGCCAAAAGCTCTCTTCTGCCTGAGGAGGAGGCGGCTGTGCTCGGATCTGATTTTAAAATAGCAAACAATGTATGGGTAAGTGGCATCCTAAAGCAGCAGCCAAACAAAAGGCCAAACCGCAAACCGAAATACTGCACGGCTGCCTGTGGGAGGACCAGTTATGCGCTTTGGAACACACGGTGTTGTGTAAGTCAAAGCGCAGGTGAGGTCATACCTCTAATCCCGACAAAAATTAAAATGCTTAAGTGCTTAGACATGTGTCCAAACAAACACAAGTGGAAAAGTTTGCTGCTGGGGGAGTCAAGCGAACACGTGAATTTCTGTCGCTCCTCGCTTGTTACAAGAAGCTCCTGCCTGTACACAATGAGATAATCGATGTCCTTGTCCTTTAGTCAATTGTCTAACTTCATTTCCACATTTCCACCTCAACTAAAGGATTAAGTGTGTACCCCTGTGGATTGAGGAAATCCCCCAGTCTTTTCAATTACACAAATGAAGAAAGCAGACAAAGTGGCCCAGCTCAGAATGAGCCAGTGAAGTTGAACTCTTCAGAGCGGCCGCACGCATGCCGGTGCGTGGAAAAACTCACCATTAGCAACTGATTTGGTCTCCCCTCTGCCTGCCACCTGGAAAACATGAAGACAAGAAGTTAATGAGCCAGCGAAGATGCAGAAAGACTTCCACTTGCACCTCGCCCACGGATTCTTGCGCCTATCCCACCCGCTTCTTCTGTCTTCCCTGACGTCACAGCATAGCACACTACCTAATGAAAACTCTCTAACCACCACTTTTCCTGTACAGGGCCCTTTTTTTGCATCAGCACAGACCACCGCCTGGTGTCCTCCAGCCCCACTACTCACTTGCAGACCACAGCCTCTGGCCTGCGCTGTAGCTACTGCGGCAACACAAGGCTGCCAGATAAGAAGGAAAAGAGAGTTTGTAGAAAAATGAGTGGTTATGGTGGATATCCAGCCTTTTTCCTCACTTCTGCTAAGCAGAGTTTAAATTTACACACAGACATTCGATAAAACAGATCATTCCCATCAGCTTTTAGTCAAACGTGTTTGAAAATCAGAGGCGATAACAGTGATTCACAGCGGTCGAGCTGCCGCTGCACACCCCAGTGAGGCATCTCTCCTGTAAAGAATGCTGTAAACAGTTCCTCCATTAGGGCAATAAAAAGTAAAGTGAAGCTGAGCTTGCTCGAGAGCGGTGATTTGTGGCCGTCAGAAGGAGCAGCGGTGATGTGATGCAGCCATTTGTGAAAAGTTTAAAGCCTGCAGTTGGACAACGGGCACACTTTTTGTTTTTTTTGTAAATTTACAATGTAAATTTGATGTAATCTTCTGGATTTTGTTGCGTCGGCTTTAATAACCTATGGATGTTAATGGAGGCAACAGTGTAACCTTTCTTTAAACTGACTAAGTCCACTTTGTGTGTGTTATTTTACAACAATTGAAAAGATTTCTATTTCTTTCTAGTTTTTTTCTTTTCTCTTTTTGCAGAAAGTGGCTCAAAGTGACTGCTCGTCAAAATAAAAGCCTCTAAAAACACTGCGAGTCAAGGAGGCACAAAAAGTGACGTACACGTTAGATCACAAATCTCTAACTTTGGACTGAAACTCGAAAATGTCCAACCACAGCCAAAAAAACAAAACAAAACACATACAAAAAAGTCAGTGCAAAGCAGTGTGGGCTCATTCAGTCATAAGCGCTTTGAGAAAAAAAAAGACACAAAAAAGACATAGAATTGTTTCTCTTTTACCTCTCCAGGCTTATTCCAGATTTAACGGTGAGGTCAACTAGCTATCAGAGTTCTTTAAAAACAAAAAAAAAACACATAAACGTGATTGTTACTCTCAGTAATGCCACACAGGGTCGAAACATCATGAGATTAATCTAATATTTCTACTTCATCTCTTTAACAAAATGTTCTCTTTGATTGACAACGACAGGAAACTGGAGCAAAAAATATATATAAGGAGAGCCGTCCAAGACCGCAAACTGTTTTGGCAGAGTCAAAACTCCATTCTGGACTTCTTCCAGTACGTGGAGCACTAATCTGGATCTTTTCCTATACAAATCTCACTTCATGTTAAGCAAGTAAATGGGCTGATATTAATGACATCTACCTTGGCCGGAGAGGCGCCTTTGTTTTCCCATAGACTCCTCTTGTTGGTGACGTCAACAGGCTTCAGGTCCTGTCAGGGGGAGAGTCAGAAAGCAAGCGCATTATCAGTGCATGCTCTGCATTTGGAGCTCTGATTGAAAATGTTCATCGTGTGGCAGCAGTGGCGGTGTACCTGAGATGTAGGCAGGATGGAACGAGCGCAGAGAATGACCGATGCGATCAAGCGGAGAGGGGTTTGTGTGGAGGAAAAAGCGCTCACACGATAATCAATAGTCTGAGGCAATCCAAGTAAAACTCGAGAAAGACGTCTTAATGCTGTCACGTTGGACATAAAGTTATGTGCAGTGAAAGTTTCCCCTGCTCTGTTTTAACAATGTTAGCACACAGCATAATGCTCCAGCATGAATATTTGGATAAAGTCACAGCTTTAAATGTTTCTATACACTTGGGAAGGACAGGACAAAAAGCTCAATCTTTGTCTGCAAGCAAACACTGCAACGGGTTTAGCATCAAATGCTTGAAAATGATGCCACGTCTACACTGTCCACACGCACTATAGCTGGAAATTACAGCTGCGAGAGCAGCAAGCTCACACACGTCATAATTCATTTTTATTTGAGGCCACCAGGTGGAGTCAGAGAGAGGATACAGCCTGCGTCCAACTGACCTGCTTCACTGCATCGTTTGAAAGTGATCATAAAACATGTCCTACACAGAACATAAGCAGCAGTAAATATGACACAGGCATAAAAAGACAGCGGGACTGAAGCAGGAGAGGGAATGCTGCACATTATTACTAGTCACTCTCACTGTTATGTGGAGGGTCCGCCACATTAAGAGCCGTTCCAAGCCAACTGGTCTAACGTGGGAGCAGCAGCGATGTCGGATAACTGCCCATACACCTGTTTTATTTCACAAGGATGGCCTCAGAGAACCTTCACACTCCCAGCGAAATGGGAGGGTGTAGAGGCCACAGTGGGATTTGGCCTTGGTTGACAGTTAAAGAAAAACCCACCAGCTGTCATTGGATTCTGGGTCAACTTGTTAAATCGTGACTGGTGTACAATTCAGTTCAATTTGATTTATATAACGTGAAGTCATAATAACAGTCATCTCAAGAGTCTGCAATAACAGAGAGAAAACCTCAGCTATCAAAAGACCGCTTATGAGCAAGCACTTGGTGACAGTGGGAAGGAAAAACTCCTTTTTAACAGGAAGAAAGCAGGCAGAACCAGGCTCATCGGGGGTGGGTCTCTGACAGAGGCCAGTGGCATCACTCTCTGCCAACCAAGCACCACCCACTTCAAAATAAGAGCCAAGAAAAACAAAATACAAAAAAGAAAAACAAAACAAACTTTGGCAGAAGAATGACTACTTGTGTTCTCCATGACAACTTTATGAGATTTAAAAGATGACCCTAACCCTAATGCAGGCCACTACCTTCATGTGCTCTGGTTCTGGATTTTGCTCTGAGGTGAGTGCTAAGTGTACTGTGCTCATACAGCGTTGACCTACCGCTGGCCTTCCTCCTGGTGTCTTGCTGCTCTCTGGGGTTTTATTCAGCCAGTCGTTGATGCGGCCCGCTACGCCTGTCTTTATCACAGCTGCTTCCTGTTTGGACAATGTCAAAGGTCAGCCAAGCCTGGTCATCACTGGCAGCGGGGCAGAGCAGGAAGGACCAGTGAACTGGGCTCTTTCCTGTCTGTCTGTCCTTCTCTCGCTCACACACACAGAAAGTTTCAACAACTTTCTAACATCCTGCACCACCTTTACTTTTTTCTTTTTTTTTTTACCTTGAATGTGCTCCCGCCGCTTCCAGGCGAGCTGAACACGTTGCCTTTCTCCCACATGCTCTTGATGTTTCGTATGCTGTCGGTGACCACGGGCAGATCCACGGCTCCGGAGCGAGGGGATCGAGACTCCTTGTTCTCTCTCTGAGGAGACAGAAATCTGGGTTTTAAGCTATGATAAAAGCTCAGGAAAAAAGCATAAATACCAACAACTCAATGCAACGTCTTTGTTATGTTTTGGCTAAGTTGGGGAGTCAAAGTAGAATGTTGTGCTCAGGAGTGGCACTTTTGGATTGATGATAATAATATTTCCAGAATGATAGCCAAAAATAGGCAGTGCAGGCACATTTTAGTCAAGCAAATTAAAACGCTTACGGAATGAAATATTACTTTTTCTGCATAGTTGCTTTTTGACAAATATTGGATATTTGCACTAGAGATGCACAGATCAATCAGTGACTGGCATGTGCAATGTGGGTGGAGCTATGATGATGTTTTGATTGCTTCAACATATCTATTTATGTACAGATAAATTATTGAGCCATAGCACAAACCATTGCTGTGCAATGATGTGTTTTAACTTTGTGATGCTCAGGGTTTGTAAGATTTAGTCAAGTTAAAACTGAGGGTTATCTTCCAATTTACACACAATATAAAAACTTTGCGAGGGTTTGAGCTGTCACTTGAGAAAGCATCGTGCCAAAAACAAAAGAAATCTTGAGAAAAACAATTGCTGATGCTCACAAAGCAAATGCTGGATATAAAAAGTTATAGTGTTTCCAAGTGTTGAGGACTGGAGTGAGAAGTATCATCAAGAAATTCAAACAGAGCCACACAGAGCAAGGCTGGCAGAGGTAGGCAGTGAAAGATTTCAAAGACTGAAAAGAAAACTAGTGAGAAATGTGTCTAAAGACCCCAGGACAACTGCCAAGACACTAGAGACACAAGAGAATGACTTAACCAAGTTGGGAATTGTGATGTCAAAGAAGACAATCACTAGAACCTCGCACAGGGAATGAACTGTGAGCCTGTAGACCTTCAAACCAGACTGAAGTATCCTAAGGAAAACCTCGAGAATGATTAGGTATACTAGAAGTCCGTCACCTGAGATGAAACTGGAGCTCTTTGGTTATAGAGATTCTGGTTATGTTTGGAGAAAGACGAGAGACGTGCACAACCCAAAGAACACCATCCCCACATTAAAAACACGGTGGTGGGAGTATTATGCTTTGGGGATGCTTCAGTGTGTCTGGAACTGGGAATCTTATCAAGGTGGAAGGACTGAAGAAACAACAACACAAAACACACATCACTCCTCCAGAAGACTAAAGTGAACATTACTGACTGGGCAGCTTAAGGCCCGGACTTGAATCCCATTCAAAAAAATCTGTGTCAGAAGACCATCAAATCTGGAGGAGCTTGAGAGATTCGCCAAAGAAGAATGGGCTGGGATTGCACAGGAGACGTACGTGAAACTTGTTGAAAATGACAAACAACTCCATCCATCCATCCATCCATCCATCCATCCATCCATCAGTGTTTTCAAAGCTGATGCAGAGCTAACCTGAGCAGCTGAGGTGTACTGCTCCAGCCTGTTGTCTATCTTGGACACCACAGGACAATGAGACGCCTTCATTGTGCTGCTGGGCAAAAGCAAGAAATTAACATACAGTGCATGAAAAATCTAAATGCCCTGAAAATGATATACACATTACATACAGTTTGGGCTTTACGTCCTACACTACAGACCCTCGGGTCTAGCTCTCGATTGTATTGTTCATATTCAGCAAAAACAGGATTGCTTAAAAAGCGTTGTTAGTAGAGGTCAACATGACTAAAAAAGATGACGCTTACCTTTTCTGTGCTGACTTGTTTAGAAACTCGGCTCTCTCCTCAATCTGTAAAGAAAGGTTAGAAATCTGTGAGTTATAAATATTGCATCAGAATTGCTCCGCTGCATGCAGTACATCTCTACCACACTTCAGATATTTATTACAGCATCCCTGCTGCTGATTCAAGTGCATCAATCCTTTTATTACCGTTAATATGAACTCATTTCTAACTTCAACATGTAGACACGCCTAGTTCTAAATAGTCACTAAGCTTTGATGATTAATAACATAAAGGGGATCTGTTAACCTGTGTGCAGCTTCAGATTTTGTTTTTCTTGACTCCACCAAAGACATAGTTCATAATAATCCTCATTTGTTTTAAACTGAGGCTTGCTGTGACACCTAAGGCCATCTCAGCTCGCTTTCCCTCCACTTCAAGCTGACTTCCCTTTGCCTTACCCGGCAAACAGATAATTTGAACAGAAGGTGGGTGGAGTTGCTATGCTTGCAGCCAGAGCTGTGTGCCTGAGACGATCATATTATAGATATCTGTTCTCATTGACAGCTTACAGATCCAAGAATAAAGCAGTGTGAGCCCTGAGCTTCTGCCATACAGGGGTTACTTCTGCTCAATATTTTAAACTTTGACCATGTTTATGAACATCCATCATCGTAAGAGTATATACCACAGACAAGAAATAGGTCCCCTTCATGCACTTAACTTCATTTCCCACAATCTCTTTGCAGGGTGTGTTTTTAAATAGTAAATATCTCATTATTATTTTCCTTCATACGTAATATAATTTGGCTTCACTTGAGCAGCACCAAGATACTGTTCCCTCTATGTGCAAAATGCTCTGAAAGACATGCACACACACGCACACACAGTCAGAAACTGACCCCCACCCCACAGCAAACGCTTTGCTCTCTCTGCCTTTAGTCTGTGGGAATCTCTGAGGATTGTTTATGATCAACGGCACAAAAGGCTAAAAGAGAGGGCAGCACATGCGTTCCTTAGATGCACACATACACACACAAAACACAAAACCCTATAATAAGGACAAAAGAAGAAACAGCAGAAAAAAAGGCCCTCTTCCCCTCTCTTTATGAAGAAGGCCATTGCACTCGACTGCTACCGAATGTGGGAGTTCCCAAAAATACTCCCTGACAGGAAATTCCCCATTCTCAGACGCATTTTAAAGAGCCGTAGCCATCCGAATGCAGTTACAGTAATCCTGTTAACCCTAATCGCTTTCCTGCATATCCCTGCTGCCTGTCCTTCATCTCGTCCCTCTGTCCTTTTCTGCCACAGAACACTGAGCTTTATCTACAATACAGAGCGGGGTTATGGTGGTTTACTGCTGATAACATGAAGGCGAGCTCTCGGGACTGAGAGTTCCACTGGGAGCTGATTCCTGATAGTAAGACAGTCTTTTTTTAAACGTTTTAGTGTAACAGGAGGCACCAAATGGCAGCTGTCAAACAAAAAGCACCTAATAGCAAAAAGAAATGAGGGGAGTAAAGTGTGTGTCTTCAATGGCATGCATGTCATTTTGATATAGGAAGTAGCCTTTGGACAGGTTCAACAAAAACCAAAGGGGCATGAAATTCACTCTGCACATAAATCAAGCAAGAATATGCTCCAATTCATGTGAGCCAATATAGAGAAAAACAGATCTGTTGTTGTCTCTTGTCTTTATGTAGCAAAAGGTATTTCAGCATGAAATAGATTAGAGTTGCTTTTCATGCTCTATCTTCTTCACAGTTATGGGATTATTACGCCCGTATTTTGTGCTCCTATAATAACAAAAGGTTCAAACTTAAATTTCTGTGGTTTTATGTTCCTTTATAGTCAGGGATAGTGGAGACAGTCCAGGGATTTAGTGCTTATATGGTATATACCCGACCTACTGGGCTTTTGGGTTGTCCATTTTCTTAAATTAACAATGAGTTACTTCGTTTTTTGTGAAATGCATCAGCTACCTCCCAAGCATATGAGCCTTCTGAGTTTAAATTTAGCCCCCATTTAAGTACCAAAAATCGCTGCTTGTTAAAATGACCCCTATATTATAACCTGCTTACAATCCAAAAACATTTTCACATTCATGACAGATCTGCTTGCTCTCAAACTCATCTTAATAAAAACTACACACAAACAAGCCATTTTCAGTTTTGAGCGACTGGTAGATGCCGTTTTGTCTTTATTGATATGTACTAACCGCATTAAGGAACTAGCTTTTCAGGTACTTACGAGACAGTGAGTACCTTTTGTTTTAAGCGTGTTTCCTGCTAGCAAAAATTAGCTAGCTAGTCAGTACTATTCAGATGCCTTGCAATAGCTGAATAACTGAACCGAAATTCATATCGGATATTACAATCACTAAACATCGAAATATGTGGCATTTAATAAATGCTAAAGACGCTATGTGTCTGCAAATGTTTGTTAAGGCAACATTCATATTAGCTATATGATTTTAATTTAATTTATGGAGTTTCCAGACCCCTCCTTTTTTGGATTATTTCATCTGTTGCGAAAACACACAAATTAACTCAAAGCAAAACACAGCACCATAACTGTTCATATGTTCCGTGTACGTGAAGAACACAACAGATAGATATGCACTCAAACAAACACAGTCACGAAGAAACACTTGTACGTACAGTGAACATGACGACAAAGTAAAGCTTTGTCTGTGAAGGGAGTGAAGGGGGCATGAGAATTACTGTTTACAAAGTGACCACAATTAAAAGAAGTGCCTGGGTCTAGTACAATCAGAGCTCACACACCATTAGAGCCAAACCTCTAGTCTAGAGTCTCACTGGGATGGGCCAGATGGATATTACAGCTAACTGTCACTAATTAGATTTTCTCCACTGGCTAAAAAATCCCCCTAGATTTTGTGTGCGTGGGAGTTGGCTTTTGGCAAAACTGAAAACATTTATTCACATTTGAGTTGATTAAACGTTCCTTTGCAGTGACAAACATTTATCTTTAGATAAGGCGGTGGGGAGGGTTGGGGGGAAACTTTTCTTCGTGCATTTCTCGAGAAGGGTTTAGATTTAGACAGTTTTAAAAAAACAAGTTACAGTTTGATTATTGCATCTCTCTCTCTGGTTTTATGAAATCCACTCCTTTATCTCAGTTAGATAACACTTGTGCAGATGCCAGTCACCTGGCGGTTAATCTCTCCAAATATTTGAATGTTCAGAGTAGGCTTTGCTGCACTGAAGGATAGATGGTGTTTGCAGGTTTGCAGGAAAGCTTTTACGGAGTTCTGCTGACGACTGCAAAGGAACCAGTGCAAATGGAGTTTAGTACAGCACGCAAATGCTATAAAGTTGTTTTAAGCCTTAAACTTATTTAAGTGTTCACCCGCTGTTCACTACACTACATTGTCAAATAGCTTTGGATGCAAATGCTGGTTTGATTGTTAGCTTTGATGCCACTTGCAATGTAGTAAAATATCAGTGGTTGCCCAGTGAATTAATTTTTGACTCAATTCTGACTCAACCTGACTGCAATCACTTTAAGACAAAATGGTGAAGGTTTGCAAATAATTGCCATCTATTTTATAAATGGAGGCAGGCAGCCAGCATGTTGAAATAAATTTGAGCCAGTTTTTACTGATGAGCACAACTCGTCTGTGACATGTCTCTTAGCAATACTTTGCTCGACTGGTTGCTAACTGGTTGTGAATCACATGTAATTGGCAACTTAACCCCACTGAATAACAAACTAATAGCAGACTGATAGGAGCCTGACAATGTCTTATTGGCTTTTGATCAGTAAAGTTTCTTAGAAGACGACAGCTGACTAAGTGGTTGTTGACCTGGTCCCTGTCTTTAAAGCAGTCATTTTAAAGGCAGCAGGATCACAAGTTGATTTTTCATGGTCGCAACAATTTAGCCTGATAGTTTTAGATGAAGTGCGTACTTTTACTCTCTTGTCCAATTCAAAAACACAAGCACAAATATGTATTAATAGTTTGACTGTCTGCTTAACCAAAGCTACAAGTGTTAGCGTGGTCATTATAGTGTGTTCATACATAGTGTGGGGGCCTGTCGGGGATGTAAAGATTAGCTTAGCATTACAACACTTAATTTTCCAAACATTTTTGCACGTTTTATTTGAGTTAAGGATGAAAAATATGCAGTTTGAAACTAATTTACCTTGAATGATTAGAGTTTACATCATCATACTTCATCAAACTATTAAGAGCTTCACTGCATTTCAGCTTATCCTTACAGGTCAACAATAAATCATGTATTCAGCCATTAAGTGCAAATGTTTTAGTCCCATTTTAAGATGCTGATTTTAAAAACAGCTCAGATGGACTTAACCCCTTTTTTTTTTTTAAATCCTGCAGTATCCAATAAGACATAAGCATGACTACTGTGAGCAATACATTGCACAAAAATATCAGTTTTTGGAAAAATTACAGAAATTAAAACTCAATTGCAAATTTATGTTTTTTTTTTCAATTTGAAGGTTCAGTTAATAATCCAGCGAAAAAAAATCTGGCAAATATTTCATGGTTCAGGCTTTACTGGAATAAAAGTCAGTCAGGAACTGCATTTTCATACAACAAACAGAGTTCATCTCTGCCTAATCGGCTTGTTAGCCCCCGCTGAAAAAAATCTGCCAGTGACATATGCCCGTTCAGGCCGCCGAATGATCTTTGTATTTTGATTTCTATTGCTGCTTCTATTTCTATCCTAACCCATATGCGCAGTACCAGAATGGAAAACCTGAGGTGAGAAGTCAAAGATAGTTGGACTGACCTTCAGAGAGGATCCTCGTGGGCTGAGACACTTAAACGGTTTGCCCTCTCCATCCATAGTGTCATCCACCTTCTGTCTCTTCTCAGCCGCCTCTGCTCTCCTCCTTTCGATCTCCTCTTTCATCTTCCTCTTCTCCTCCTGAGAAAGAGATGGCAGGCATTTCTGAGTGACTCTGACAGGGAACGCGTTGGTCAATTTAATTACAGCAGTCCTGCCAGGTAATGGTAGCTTGTGTCTGCTAGCTGCTTGTATCGACTCTAACTAAATGGAAACATACTTATGCTGCCACAGGCTATCACATGATAAAGAAAATGTCACTGGCAGTTGACAATCAAAAATGCAGCCGACCCAGACACTTTCTAACTGATTTACTTATTTCATCAAATGAAGCAGGTCAGTCTCGAATTCAATTACTCTGAGTAAATTCTTATTTACAGCCATCGGCTGCCTCGGGAGAAAAAAGGCATTTTGAAAAGCCTGATACAGCAGACTATCAAGAGTTAAAAAAAAAGAAAGGAAAAAAAGTATGAACCATTTGTACAGTATTCAGAAGAGGGCTGGTGCTTGGCAGTATATCAGCCCTCTCCGGCAGCCTTGTCTTGGTTAATTAGTCTCTCTGTATCTCTGGGCCATCTTTTAATTACAAACCAAAAGGCCTCATTAACATCACACAAGAGGAGAAGAACAGGGGCAGATAGCTAGAGATGGGCTGCCACGTTCGGAGCCAAGAGCAACAAAGAAGACCAGTCAGGGTAATAGCGAGAATGTAGGGGCCTCGGCGCAAGCTGACTGCGAGCGAAAATGAGCGACGCGTTTCGGTACAGCGGGGGAACACGAAGGAAAGCAGAGGTTATCGCGTCTGAGATACGCAAGGACGAGGATGTTGTAAGAAGAGGAGACAGAGGAATGACATATGTGAGTTACAAGCGGGGACCCAAATAGGTTGAGTCATGATAACGGAGACGTATGGCGAGATAACGTCACAGCGGTGCAAGTGTGAGAGAGAGTGATGCATGGGTTTCTGCTCATGCAGGTGCAATGGGATGAATCAACATGGTGCAGAGCATGAGAAAATGTAAAAGACTGCAGTGACGGTTGTTGACTTCATTCTCACTGATGTCTGCATTTGAAATTTGATTGTTGCAACAGCTGTGTGGGCAGGCAATAAAAACCATTCAAGTCCATTCTTCTTTCGATTGTTTTGGGTTTTTTTGGTTTCGATTTTTCGCTGTTGGCCCAGTCAGAGGTTTAAGCACACACGGTGTGTTATTGTTGCAGAATGACTCATTTGTAAGAGATGGGCCGTTCTCGAGACTTGCTATCCCCAACTACAGCCCCTCCTTTTTTTTATTATAACAATAATGGAAACAGACACAACACTGTGTGTGCAGGAGCTTACAAATATCTCAGCAGGTGTTTCATCTGGACTCAACAAGATCCAAATTAGAAACCAAGCTTCTTTTCTTGGGCTACAAAACTGAATAACTGCAATTTTTCCTGTAACTACGTAAACATATAGTTCAGGGATGTGTAGCTTTTTCATGCTTTTTCAAGTTTAAAGGGACAGCTTCATGGATATATCGGAGACTCCGATAAGCCATTTGCATAGAAATGTGGCTTAATCCAAAGATGAAAGGGCAAACACAAACAAACAAAAGAACAATATTAAAAAAGGAAAAGATGACTGAAAACAAGAATTGTGTGATAATTCAGTCATAATAGAGAGAAAACAGAACAGCAACCTCTTAGCGTCTAAGAACAGTTGGTGGTAGCCCAGAGATTGATTTGAATTTTTTTACATTTATCACAGTTCCCAATTATCACAAGAAGAGACTCATAGCAACTTATTGCTCTTATTGATGTATCAAATTTGCTTTGAAGACAAAAACTGACTGCAGGTGGTCGGAGAACTGGTCCCCATCTTTGAAACATCCACTTCGAAGGCAACCAGTTCATAACTTCATTGCACATGCACAATAATTTTGCTGATTCCAGTCTCCCACCGATTGTAAGATGACACTCAGACTTGCGTCCATCGGCCACTTGCCTGAAGCTCAGACTTTTATAACATCATGATTTTTTTTTAAACAAAACATTTACATAGAGATGGGATAAAACAGAGTAAAACAGCTTAAAAGTTAAGTAAAACAAAACAAAACATCCACCTCCTCTTTGGCTTTCCTTTCTGCCTCTTCCTCCTTCCTCTGCCTCTCCTCCTCCTCCAGCACCTTTCTCCTCCCCTCCCTCTTCCTTTTCAGCTCCTCCAGCTCAGCTTCGGCGTCCTGCTGCTTCTGCCTCATCCTCTCAAACTCCTCGCTCTCCGCATCATCGCGACGACGCTTCAGCTCCTCCAGCTTGCGCTCCGCCTCCAGGCGGGCGTCCTCGTCCGGGTCATCACCCGCAGAAGGCTCGGGGGAGCGCACGCTGCCGCGGCTGGGAAGGACACATAAAAACACGGGTCAGCACACGGGTCGGAACGGAAAGCTGGTTGCCTTTTGATCCAGGTATTCAAATGCACACCAGAAGAAGATGTTGCCTTCATGGAATTCACACAACAAACAAATGCAATCACGTTTGCAAAGATAAAGTTACAGGCGGTATCAAGTTTCGTTCCAGTGTTTCAACCTGAGAACTCACTGCAGGTGACCTGTGACAGAAAAACACGGCCACTCTGCCAGCTGAACAAAAACAACGTGTTTTTCTTGAAAGTCTGAATGAGATTTGCTTTTCAATTATGTTTCAGAAGCCTCGGGCTACATGTTTATACTTTCACACCAGCCTGTGCAATAAATGATAAATGTCAGCCTCATACATAACTTCCTGTCTGATAAAACTAATTTCCTTTAAAATGCAGTACATAATGTTGTTTATCAACAGACTGTTGTCCTCTCCTCGCACTCGGTCACAATGAGCTTTGATTATTTGTAGTTTGATCTTTTCAGCTGACCTTTGGGTCTGGTATATTAAGTTACTGCAGTACTTTTCCACAAGTGGACAAGAGTAGAGTCACTGATATATCAGCAAAGGTCTTGAGCTTCTTCATAAAAATCAAACTTGTGCAGAAATAAGTCCAGCAATTTGCTGAAATGTGCAAACACAAATGAAAATACAATATATAAGGCACAATCAGAGTTTCTGGAATTCTAATGAACTTGAAAATCAATATTCGGTATGACCACCTTAATTCTTTAACACAGCCTGAACTCTCTTCTCATTTCTTTAAGTAGTCTTCAGAAATAGTTCTCCAGCCTGTTTGAAGGACACCCAAAGCTCTTTTTGGATGTTTACTGTCTTTTGTTCCATTTTCTGCTGATTTGATCCACACTGTTTCAGTAATGTTGTGGTCAAGGCTCTGGGGATGCCAATCCATGACTGATGGTGTTCCACTGTGTTTGTGTTTTACTACACTGACAATGTGTTTGCTGATTATTGTCACACTAAACACCGAAGCAGTTGCCAATCACATGTTTCCAGTTAGTATTCCATGCTGGATCTGATGTACTTTCTGAGTTTACAATTCCCTCTATTTTGAAAAGAACACACTTTACATTGAGCTATACCAAGTTTTTGAGACTTAAAATAGTCGTTTAGATTAAAAAAGCTATTTCATGTCTGTTAGACTGTGTTCTTTGCTTTTTTTTTGCAGATTCAACTAAAGATCTGGGAACAAATGTTGCTTGTTAGCAATAAAGTACTTTAAAATAAATTTATTGGTTATGTGTAGACAGAACACTGACTCATCTCTGGAGTTAGGTGTCTTTTTTATGCTTGAATGAGTCACAGGTCAGCATTAAGTAGCATAACAAAAACATTTCTCTGAAAATGGTCGGGGGTGCAAGGACTGAAAAGTGTGAAAAACAGCCAATGTCCAAAGAAAAAGTCTGAAAGACCTTTATAAATGCCTGAAGAATTGCTGCTCAAATAATACAAGTAAATGAAGAAATGAGTGGTGGCTCAGGACTTATGCACAGCACTGTAGCTCAGTGGTTTTTTATATCTAGCCTTTTTTTGCAAGAAAGATTAGATAAGCGCAGCTGCTATTAGTCACATTCATTGAGTCTGTGTGTTTTATTCAGGCATACAGGTTTCATTAACGAATTAGTCACCTGTTGCTTCAGAATAAAGGCATCATTATCTTTTTTAGTAGGACTTAAATAACCATTATCAGATAGGTGACAAAATATTGAACTGAAAATGAGAAAATATTAGCCTAATTTCTGTTTGTCTGTAGTAAAAAACAGAACATTTATCGAGTTAGATGACACAAACTACTGGCAATCTTCACATTTTTGCAACAGTGTAAATACAAATTGCATTCTGGTCTTTATGATTTTTCACAAATTAGAGAGCGTCAAACTGTCACACGAATCTGAGCGATACTGCTGACAGCTCAGGCGCTTGAATAATTCACAGGACTGGGCTGTCCCCAGTTTGGCCTCAGGGTGACAATGAGACAGTGTGTGCTTTTGTTGCTGTTGTGTACCTGGTGGTCCTCTCAGGTTTCCTGTGCTGTTTGGGAGGCGCCTCCTCATGCAGCCCTCCGTTGTGCTTCCTCTGATCCTCCCTCTCCTCTCTGGGCTCATTCACCTAAAGCCCCCCCCCACACACACACACAGAAAGCAAGATAGAGTGATACTGAACAACAAAGGTAGGCAGAAAGGTGCATAGAGTGAAGTGTGATTGGATTCAATCATGTCACATCACATGATATCCCATAAGAGAAAGAGAGCACGCCCAAATAAAATAACACAGAACATCACATCACACTACGTCCACTCCAGGATTACTGTTGACAAAGGATTATCTAACATGTGATCACACTGGGAGTGTCTCCAGCTGGGTATTTCCTACATCCATTTGCTGTCCATAATCAGAAACATAATTAAAGTCTTATATGTGATAATTACTATTTCTGTGAAGTACATATCCAGTCAAATTTTGAAGACCATGGGATATATTATGAATGTAATACAAATTATGAATCTTTACCAAGAAAGCGCTATAAACTTTCTTATTCTTGCACTGACACCATTTCAATATAAAATGCTGACGTCATCAGTTAAATATGCTTTTCCCTATTTTTGTCATAGCTATCTATCTGTCTATGTTGAAGTGGTGAATCCACATTAAAACACAGCCATATGTCCAGGTAACCCCTAATAGGCAAGTTCAAACCCTCTGTTTTCAATCAGAAGGAACTGGCCCCAGTTACACAGGCTGGTTGGCAACTGGTTGGCAACTGGTTGGCAACTGCCAGATACTAGGGAAAATGTACATTCGTCCACCAGTTAACGAGTGGTTATGGGAGGTTGCTTGCTGTCGCTTAATGAAAGTGGTTGTAAAGAACTATATGATGCAGCAGCAAAAACTGAAAGGCAACTGCAGCGGTCACCCGCAATTTGCATGGAAGACACCAATTTGTTGCACACACTCACCAACTTTTGTACTGAAGTAGCGACAAGTGCAGCCTAAACCACAAACAGAAATAAATAAATACTAAACACTGTGCTTTTGAAATGTGTTTTTTTTTTCAGTGTCGAGGCATAATTTTTACTTTTAAGAAGGACAGTCGAACATTTGAATTTTAACTGCAAAAACTGGTGACGGTTTGCAGACAAGCTGGTGTCTTACATTAAAACTACTGGTGAGTGAAGCAATCTGCTGGTAGTGATGGAATACGGCCTAAAGGAGCTTGTTCCAGACATTGGACCAACTAAGGGACAACACTAGTGCCCTGTACAAAAGGGTTTATTGCAATCTTAAACTTTTGACAGATATCGAAAGATGACCTGATGCCTCACTGAGTTGCTGAAGTGGAGCCAGTGTAATGTGATGTGTTGTTGCACTCATGGCTGAGGTGGAAGACATGCAGAAAAAAAATGTGACCACTCTGTGGAGCATAGCATTAACCTTTTGAAAAGTCTGACCACACGGCTGTAAACCGCACCTCATCAAACGCAGACCTGTCATTACCAGTTTGCAAATGTTGCAAACCATGCTAGACGGCACGAGGTGTCCGGGTAATTTCAGTGTCATAAATCAACACGTCAACAAGATGTCTCATTGAGAGGTTTAACACGTAAACATTTCTGTCTAGTTAGACACTGAAGTTATCCAAAGAAATTTCACGTGCTGTGCATCACACCTGTACTGAAGTTCTTACCGCATGTATGATACCTCATTATCTTCTGATTCAGATACCTCAAAGTCCTCTTCACTGTCATTTCTTAGTAACATAGGCTTGTTCCCCTGTGAATTATCTACATTATCATCCTCAGGTACCTCTTCAGCTTCCCCTGATGCTACTGTATCCTCCCCAGCCTCTGAATTTGACGACTTGGTCTGATTTGAACTTTCACTGACTACCGAATGTCTGTCTTCTTCGGCGAAGTCCTATGAAAAAGGATTATAGCAGTTCTTTGAAAGTAAGCTCAGCGATCAAATCAAAGGTAACAAAAATGACAACAAATCACTAACCATACCTTGTTTTGAATTTTAGGCTCTTCAGCTGAAGCCTATAGAAACAAGGATCAAATGTGCCAAGGCTGTCGGTTACACCAGCTTAACTTAATGTCTGACATGAAAGAAGAACGGTGACCTGATAACTGACCTGGTCTCTCAAGTAAGACCTTCTCGGTTTGTCCTCCACAACTGCAACTGGCTGCTCCTCCTCTTCATCTACCCCCTCCGCTTCTTCCTCTCCCCCTTCAGGGGCAGCCTGCTCTTCCTCCCTCGGCTCCTCTCGCTCCTTCTCCTCCTCTCTTCTCGAGCTATAGGTTTCCATCTTCTCAGCCTCGTCGTCATTGTCACGGTAACGTCCCCTACGCCAGGAGGAGGGCCTCTCCTCTTCTGCGCTGTTTTTCTCCGTGGCGGTGCTGTCGTTGCCCTCCGTCACAGTGGGGTCCAGCTGTTTCTGTCTCTCCAGCGCCTCCTTCATGCGCCTCTGCCGTCTCTCCTCACGTTTGGCCATGCGGTCCAGTAGGGCTTGGTCCTCGTCATCTCCACCGCCTCCATAAGAGCTGCTCACAGACACCGTCTCTGTGACACTACGAGGAGAGAGAGAGAAAGAGAGAGACGGCACAAATGTCACATTGTGTGTATTCGTGTCAAAGAGGAGGAAGGGGTGAGGTCACAGCAGACGTCAGCCGTTATAAAAATGTGGGCATGGAAAGATAATCCATGACATTATCTTCTGTTACCTCTGAGCTGCCCCTGGTGGAAGGCCGCAACCCCTGTGTAATCATAATTTCCAGAAAGAGGTTGCATTGTTACTGACAGCTTTATAGCCAAGAACAGCAGAAAATGTAGACCCATGGCTTTACTGACTGGTCTTCACCACAGCTCTTCAAATAAACTCAGGTGAGGCCTTATAATGAATGGAAATTTGGATTTTAGGTGGGAACTTTTGTATGTGCTCAGATACAGCCATAGCATACAGTTTACAGCCATGCTAACACCTGCTAAAACTTTGGACTGAATGCTAACTACGATAGCATGCTAACATGCTATCATAGTTAGCATGTTTTTGGATGCCGAGTCAATAGTTGCTGTGGCATTAAATTTAACCCACAATGTGTAACATTACCAAATACATGAGGATTAAGCGTTGCATCAGAGCACAAATGTGTAAAAAAATTTTGTTTAGTTTTGTCTGCGCTAAAGGACCTCCAAACAAACCAAGATAATCTTTTATAAAGCTTTGCTTCAGCGTGACTAAAATACACACTTACTGGCTACTTCATGTGGTACACCTGGTCACCTTCTCACTCATGCACATATCTAATCAGCCAATCACTGTGTCTCTGTGCTTTTAGGCATGTAGAGAGGATCAAGACCAGCTGCTGTTCAAACTGAGCATCAGAAGGGGGATTTGTCTTTGAACGTGGCATGATTGCTGGTGGCAGAGGGGCTTTTCTGAGTGTTTCAGAAACTGCTGATCTGCAGGGATTTTCCCACAGAGCCATCGCTCGAGTTTACTGAGAATGGTTCGAAGAAGAGAAAATATCCATGCAGGGCAATATGACCAAAATTATTTATCACGATATACATTTCAAAATTTGCGATAACGATATAACTGAGGATATAATTGACACTAGACAAAATGCTTTACAACTCCACAACTTTATTAGTGCAACCCCCCCCCCCCCCCCAAATCAATGTATTTTCACTTAAACAAGCAGGTGTTTTATGTGCATCAAAGTTATATAAAAATTTAGCAGTGCAAATGCAAATTCCTTGCTGACAGTTTAACCAAAAGGCATTTCCAGTGGAAATTGGCCAACATATCCTCAGCATAACCATGTATAATATCCACAAAACTTTATAGGTTATACACACACAATACGGTAATATTGTGTTGACGCACAGTACGTATCACTCCGTGAGGCTCCTGCCTACGATAGCCGTAATGCTCCGACAATCCATCAAGCTGTGCGAGTTCGTAGCTTAGCAAAGTCGTACTGAAACATTTGACAGATTTTCGAGCGCCGTGTACGACATAAAATCGTTTCGAGGTCAGTAAACACAACCAGAATTCATACATAAGGCACACGGGATTATAAGGGGCACTGTTGATTTTCAGAAAAATCAAAGGATTGATTTTTTTTATTTTTTTCACGGCTGCACCGTGGCTCTTACTCGTAAAGGAGGAACTAAAAACTTGACCGACCCAATCACGTTTCAGTTTTAGATGCTCCTGAGGAGACAGGTGAGTTTCTTGCAACAAGGCAACATGGACATGCTCCCTCTTAAGAAAACTCAATATTTTTTTCCGTTTAATAGGGTTATGTATACCTCCTACATTCCAGGAACAAACATTTAACACTGAATTATCACTTATCATACAACATTTGAAATAAGCATGGAACCACGCTCAGGTGACCAAAGCATAGCTGATATGTAGGGCTCCCAAACACTGCTCTACAACACCAGTGGCAAGTAAAATACACATAGAAAAACAAACGTCCTGCTTTGCTAACAATTAACAACAAACTATTTACAAGAAACAGAACTGTCAAGAAACCAGTGAGTATGGAGGTCAGACAAAGGTCTCCAACGCCCAGCAGGGGGTGCAAGCAAACTTTCCAACTTGGACATAGAAAGATGCTGGACCAGAGTACGAGTCTTTTCTTAATCAGTAACGTGAAACAGCTGCCCGCCCGCAGCTAAAACAAGGATTCGGATTATAAATGGCTAAATAAAATAGTCTATATGTATGGGATTATTATCTCCGCGCAGACCCGAAAAGAGAAAAAGAAACCAAACAGAAAAAAAAACAATAATAAAAAAAAATAAATTAAAAAAAAAGTAAAAAGAAAGGAGGAGACGAGGGATTGGCGAATACCTCACGTATGGGACAGGAGCATAGATCAACAGTCCGCTGGAGCCACTGAGGATGAGCGCGGTCCCGCCCCTTGAGGCACGTTATCCAGATAAGCTGAGACTGCTTCTGGAGTTCTAAAAGATTTCTCCTGGCCATCGATCTTGATCCTAAGGACAGCCGGGTACATCATGGCGAAGGGGACACCCATCTCCCTGAGGCGTTGTTTGACGTGGTAGAATCCCTGGCGTTTCTTCAGAACAGCGGCGGAGAAGTCCTCGAATATCATAATAGGAATGCCGTTATGAAATAAGGACTGCTTCCTCCTAGCCGCTTGCATGATCCGTGCTTTATCCAGGAAGTTGTGGAGCTTTATGATGACCGCGCGGGGCCGCTGGGCACTGGAAGGGAGGCGTGCAAGCACCCGGTGGCAGCGATCAATTTTAACAGCGCCGCCCTTGAAACTCACAGCCAAAAGGATTGATTTTAAGTGTGCCGTATTTTCCAAAAAACACGGTAATAACAACGGCCCGCTAGCATGCTCTACCAAAAATAGTGCTTTGTTGTGTATCTGACGGATGAAAGCTAAACCAGTTCCACATCACTGAAGTTGCAGCATTTTTACAAACCAATTTTGGTTCATCCATTTCATTCAACGATCTGCTTTCGCCGCAGTGCTTTTTCCGCCATGTGCGTATGAAAACAAAGGCACTGCGCGTTTTACCCATATTCTATCGCGATATTTCATTTTTCTATCATTGCCCAACATTATACCGGTATTACCGTGAACGGTATGATATGACCCAGCCCTACCAGGAAGCCACAGTTTTCTGGGCGAAAACACCTTGTTCATGTCAGAAGAAATGGCCCGACTTCTTCGAGCTGATATGAAGGCAACGCTTTAAAACCAAGGGACACAGAAGAACAACTCTGAATGCCCAACATATCAAACCTCAAATCAAATCAAAAGCAGATGGCCTATAGCTGATGGACCACACCAGGTGTTACTCCTGTGAGGTGAGGACAGGGAGCTGAGGCTACAATTCATACAGGCTCACCAAAATTGGAAGATCTGTTTTTTTCTGGAAAAATCTTTCCTGATCTGACGAGTCTTTATTTCTGCTGCAATACTCAGACGGTAAGGTCAGAATTTGGCATAAACAACACAACAGCATGGAGCCATGCGGCCTTGAATCAACAGGTCAGGCTGATGGTGGTGGTGTAATGGTGTTGGGGATATTTTCCTGGCACACTTCCAGCCTACCCAAGTATTGTTGCTGACCATGTCCATCCCTTTAAGATCAGTGTACCCACATTCTGATTTCTACATGCAGCATGATAATGCACCATATAACACAGCACAAATCATCTCAAACTGACAATGAGGTTATTGTACTCAAATGGCCTCCAGAATCACCAGGCCTCAATCCACAGTCACCAGATCTCCTGTTAGAGATGTGGTAGAATGAGAGATAAGCAGCCAAGAAATCTGCAGTGGACCAAAATCTCTGAGGAATGTTTCCAGCAACTTGTTAAATCTCTGTTATGAGGAATTAATGCAGTTTTGAAGGCACAAGAGAGCCCAACCTGGTACTACCAAGATGTACCTAATAAAGTGTGGAGTAAGTGTATTTATATTTTCTAACTAAAATATTCAGTGACTATCCTTCCACCTTGAGGCATGACTACAGCATGACTCACAATACTGTGACCTAAAAGTCTGCCAAACATTATCCTTGCATCTGCACAATCAACAATGGCTAGCAAGAACTAGGTCCTATCTCAGCATCCTTCTGCACAATCCCCTTGTTGTTTGACCACCCCAGGATGTATCTAAGAGCTTACAGAGAGGAAACATTCATCACCACAAAGCAGTGTCTGTGTGACTAGATGTCAGAGCGACCCACCACTTCCACTGTAGCCAACACAATTTATCTCAAACCTGCACTTATAAATTATCCGCAGTCTTATTGTGTTTGGAGACTTTAGGTTTTAGAGAAGTGATTTTTTTACTCCTCATATACACTCTGGCACCTCTCCTTTTGGGAGTTTTCATGGGCTAGTTCACTTAAATTACTAAAGCTTACTATTTTCTCAAAAACGTCTGGCGGTAGACTATCTAACCATGCAGCTCCACCCCGACACCCTAAACCCAGAAAATGACATTACGTTGAGAGTTTATTAGTTGGACTTTACTGGTGCTCTCTCGCTTTTGCAGCCGATCCAAAAAAAAAAAAGAGGGAGCCAATCAGTCGTCTGCTGGACTACGTACGAGAGCTTGTTTTGCTATACCTGTGGCTGTTGGTCATAACCAGGCTGTCTGACTGGCTGCTGGGCTCCTCGCTCTCCTTGCTCTTCATCCTCTCCTGGCGTGCCCTGCGCCTCCTCTCACGGGCCGCCTCCTCTTCATCATCATCATTCTTTGCCATCCTGCGGGAAGACGAAAGAAGAAAGAGAGAGTGAGAAGACAAAGGCATGCATTATCTATTTTCAACTTTCAACCCCTCATCTCCTTTCTCCCTATCCTCAATTTAGCTTAGCAGTTAGAAACTTCAAAGTGAGCGGTTCTTTAAATTGGACTGTAATCTTCGCAGTGACCAAATCTGGTGGATTTACCCCAAGTCCCCCCCACCCACCCCTTCTCTTCTATCAAGTGGAGCTGTCAGCTGTGTAACCACCAATACTTCTTATCGTGGCTGCAGTTTTCACGAGCTGATAAAAACTCTGTCTGGAGACATGGCTTGGCTAAGGATAAGAGAGCAGTGAAACAGTGTTTCTGGCCAGCAGCTTGTACTAGTCTGGTCAGTGCAGGAACGGAGGAAGCAGGAGAGCTGTGTGTGTGTGTGTGTGTGTGTGTGTGTACACTGGCCAATAACCAGTGTAATCTTAAAAGTTCATAATTCTTCCAAAGAATTTAATACAGCATTAAATTTAGCAATCGTATTTTTCCAGAGTTGAATAGAATAGAATAATCCTTTAATTGTCCCACAAGGGGAAATTTGGTTGTAACAGCAGCCAGAAAGACACATAGACAAACAAACAGTACACAGGACAGAAACATACACATTTTTCTTACATATTTACATATGGACAATGGTTACTATATACAGAGTACTGTACAGTTATTAAATTAAATAAAAATAACTACAGATAAGAAGGAAAACCAGGTTGTAGTGCGAATCAGTTGATATACTACAATAAAAACTTCTCTTAGCTGTATTTGGTGCGTGCATAGCTGAAGCACGCATCAATTAAATGATAGACAAGCTCAGCTTTTGCTGAAACGCCCGGGGCTAGATGACAACACTGATACTACTCTTACAGTTATATATATGCAACATATGACGCAATCAAATTAACTGGCCACTGTATATAGTATAAAAGACAAACACAGCTTACAACTAAAGACAAAACGCTACCTGCATTCTTCTTAATAGGCAGCAGGGGACGACTGATCTGCTCTCAAAAAGACTAATGATTTCATAGAAGTCTGGGCAAATGACCCTTGATTGCCTCGCTCTCTGACCTCGGTAAACACTCGTCTTATCATCATTCTAAGAGTCATAAAGGAGGATTAAACAAGATGTGCTCAATGGCTTGTAAAATACAGGATGCTAGCAGGTGATAAAGATGATGTAGCTATCGTGATGTCACTTGGTATGAACTAAATTTTCAAAATAGATTTCTCTTTCTTTAACATGACTCGAAATAATACACTCGACAGGAGTGTGTGTGTGGAGTGTGAAACAAAGCCGTTCTGCCATAGACTTCTATAGGCCTGGAAGTCCTTTTGCAACCAGAGCTATCACCACCTGTTGGCTTTCAGATAATTAAGTTTCAGTTAACTTTTACTTATATAGCACCAAATCACAACAACAGTCATTTCTAGTCACTTTATATTATAATATAAAGACCCTAAAATAATACAGAGAAAACCTCAACAATCAAACGACCCCTTATGAGCATCACTTTGGCGACAGTGGGAAGGAAATACTCTTTTTAAACAGAAGAAACCTCAGGCAGAACCAGGGTCAGGGAGGGGCAGCCATCTGCTGTGACCGGTTGGGGCGAGATCACAAATGAAGCTGCTGCATTGCAATTGGTTAATCTGTGCCATTGTTTTAACTGTGGAGAACTTTAGACAGCAGAATAAAAGTTTACTCCTCAAAAGCAAGCTCAAATATCTGTACAAATTATTTCTTGCATTAAATTCATTCAGCACTGCTACATGGGTCGTAACTCCTGCTGCATTTAAGCACACAGCAGACGATGCATGGTCATTGCAGGTCATGTCTAAAACATGGGCAAACATCTGTTTTTTGCATTAAACCTCACACAATCATTCAGAGACATGCTGCGAGTTATAAAATTATTTATTTAACGCAAAGGTTTAAGTACAGGGTGCGGCTGCATGCTATCATAAACAAGACTCCACTGTCCAAAAATCTAACTGGCTTGCAAGCTACTGTATATTTATGTTCTTAAATTTGATTGAAAGCAACAAGTTCAGGCCTTTCTCTCGGGTCTGTCCAAAGTCAGTCTGGGGAATGAAGGAAACTCAAGTGAAGTACAATAGACAATTTTTAAGGAAAAGAGACTACACCCAAAAGTAAAATTATATATCATATATCAAACAATGCAATACTACCCAACACTGAAACTATTCCTTTTTTTTTAAGGTATCAAATTGTGCAGTGCAGTGTTTCTGGCCACCTGACATCTATGAACTCAGCTCCATGCTTGATCTGTGTTGCCCTGACTGACCTTTACACTTCCACTGCTCACCACATGCCCAGCTACCTAACATCGCAGCGCAGCCTTTGAGGCCGGCCAGCGAAGCATGCCGTTGCATGTTAATTGCAACACGTGTGGTGAGGCAAGCTAAAGCCGCCAGGGTTTATGTGAGGTTTTACAGCTTGTGAACAACACCCCCCCTCCCCCACCCACTATGCTGTTCCCCCAACCCCCTCTCCCTCTCATATGAGGCATGTTAGGGTTAGTCATAACAGAACAGATGAATCTGCTAACGCCCAAGTTAGACCTGTGGGACGGTGACATCAGTGACGTCAGGCAATGCTTTACACATGTGCATGTGTGTCTGCTTAGTTTAAACTATTCAGCATCTCCGAGTGTAGAAAATCAGCTTTATCCAGAGGAGGGTCTATCCTGAATTCCAGCCCTGCGGGCCAGTGATATACATTGTACACTGAGAGCGCTAGCACAATATTTACATTTTAGCAAACAAAAAAAATACAAGAAAGAGTTTTTTTTTTCTTTTCCATTCATTATTAAGGTCAATTGAGCTCCACTGCAAAAAAAAGTACATTAACCCTTATTTAAAATATCAGAGCAGAGTGATGTTTTTGTGAGACCTAAAAAAAAAAAGTAGTGAAACAACAACTGCTGTAATTCCCGAAGGACTGAACCGTCCCAGAAACAGCACCGAATGTCATGAGAAAACGAAAACAGCTAAAAATGGAACAAAGGAGTCCTTGGTGGCGGTGACGACGACAATCTCAGGGTTAAAGATTCCTCAGTAGGAAAAGAAAAGGAAGAAAGAAAGACAGAAAAAACTCCTGAAAGCTGAATTAGCATTCCTGTCAATCACAGCCTTGGCTGGAGACACATACACAACCAAAGCCCTGATTTAATATCCCTTTCCATAGCAAGGCCCCCAAAGTCTATCAGCATACTGACAGAAATACGGTGAGAGGTGGAATGGTGGATAATGGAAGAAAGAAAAAATAGGAGAAGAAGAGAACAGGCAAGTGAAATGGGATAGAGTGAGGATAAAGTGGAGAGGTGGGAAATGAAAAACGGGAAAGGAAGGGGTGTGCACAATAATGGAAAAAGGAGTAATCTGCAGATTTTATCATAGTCGACAACTTTTCCTGTACGAAATGATGTGAAGCCACAGCAATAAATTGCAGGTTACCAGGACATAGTCTCCACCAGACGCCTATTTCTTGAGTGGCCAAGTACAGCATGTAAATAAAGGAAACCTGCCCATTATTGGTGCTTTACTACGAATGCCGTGGACTTCACCGTGGCAGCTACAGTGAAGCATATGAATAACGTGTGTTTCACACCCTGAGTAGTGTGTTTTCGCTGATTTAAACCGCCTGCATGGAAAGCACACTAAACATCGCCATCAGTGAACCTATTAGGGAGAAGTATGTCCAAATATTTTCTTTACAGCAAAATATCTCAGAAATGTCAGTGAAAACAATTTGGGAAAAGCTCATGAGAAAAGACTTCTTCACCCCTCCTTGGCAAGAGGAGGGACAGAGGGAAGGAAGGGAGAAAAGTGAAGAGGAAGCTCGAAAACAGCGGAGGGAGGGAAAAAGGCTGCTGTGAGCAGATGGGGGAGAGGGGAGTTAAGGAAGGGATGGTTAGGGCGAGGGAGAGAGGGTGGGGGCTTGGCTTGAGCTGTCAGAAATGCTGACCCATTCCCACGCTGGTCTCTCTAGACTGTTTCCCTTCCTACTGCCGGCCCACAGAACCACAACATCCCCCGTCTGTCCCTCCCCCCACCCTGCGCTCTGCTGGGCCAGCTCCAAGAATTCATATTGCTAGCTGTGGTACAGTCCTTCTAGACTGCATTTATTCTTCTACTCGAAGATGAATGAGGTAATATGGCATGCATCTGAAAATAACTAAGAGAGGAAGGGTAGCCTTAACTCCCTTCAATGCTGATGTGGCAAAGCAGCTTAGAAGCTGGCAAAGATTTACGATGCAGGACCGGGTCACGTTGTGAATGGTCCGTTCAACCAGGGCGGGGGACCGTTTGGCATGGCTCATTCACGGAGGATGGGTGTTATTTCCTCAACCCTTCCTAGTCTCTGAGGCAGAGGGCCAGCGCAGATGTAAGAATGAGGAGGAAAGGGAGGATGGTGAAAAGACGTGAAAGAAGCGACGGAGAAACAGACCGTGAGCGAGCGAGAAGGAAGTGGAGAATGAGGGGTTGACAATTTAAGTGGAGGAGCGGGATCAAAAGGAAGAAGAAGCGGGGAGAAGATGAGAGGAAAGGCAGAGGTGACAGTTTAAGAGAGGAGGAGAGGGAAACAATCAGGAGAATAATCAGAAAATGAAAGTGGGTTTTTGGAGGGGTGGAAGAAGAAGAAAGACAGTGAGACCCAGAGGAGGAGGAGGGGGAGGAGGATGGGATGCATAAAGAATGAAGGGAGGAGACAGAGGAGGGTGATCGGGAGGTGGGGAATGGCAAAAATCAAAAATAAACACTTCCCAAAAAAGGAAATAAAAGAAGAAATGCTAAGTAAAGGCCTCAGAGAATAAACATTACCTCATAGTTTAAAATTGAAGGAATAGTGAGACTACCTTGCTCTCAGCACACAAGTCATAGTATTTCTTTGAAACAGTGATCACTCAGAGTAGCCTTCACACAGACAGTCACCTATGTTAGATTAAACTGCTGCGTATGATCAAATGCTTTCTAATAGCCAAATCCAGGAGGATTAACTGCTCAAGTACACGAGTTTCATTTGGGAAGGGAGTGGCAGCAACATTTCTGTAGGCTCCATGAGAAAAAAAAAACATTTTTAACCAAGGCAGATACCCTCTGGTCAGTGAATTGACTGGGAAAATTCCACCTCTATGTGCGTTCATTGGCTAAGAAGGGGGGAAAAAAAGGCAGAGACATTCCTTGTCTGATTGCTATAGCGCCGACGAACGGCGTGGGTTGCAGGGAATTATAGAGCGCGAGAGAGTGTGAGAAACCTTTGAGCAGAAAAACAGGGTGTATGTGTGTGGTTTTGCTTAATAAAACTGAAATCAAAAGCACGATGTGAGCCACAGCGTCGATGACCCTTTTCTTAGAGCTATAACTGACGTTGATGCAAGGCAGAACAAGGGAAGGCTTGGCTGTCATCCCGACAAACACGCACACTTGTATACTTGGTTGTATTTTTAAAAAGTGAATGGAGCTTGTCAAGCCTTCATCACCCGATGCTGATACGAAACACACCAACACTCGCTGCGTGAAAGCATCCTAACATTCGTGCACATGCGCTCTCAAGTACAGTGACATGCACAGAGCTGGCGTGAGGAAGCCCACAATCGCAGCATCCCAGCATGTAGGAAACAGCTCATGGAGACCTGGCCAGTAAACACTTATAATAGCCAGGAATTTGGCATTGCTTCAGCCGTTATTATATGGCCCCAAAGTCTCCTTTTTCTCACAGCACACTCAATGATGGTTGAATGGAAGCAAGCCAACGAGACAACATGTGGTTTTGACTAGTCTGACCAAGAGGGGGCATGTAAATATTGATTGTTTCAATATATTGGCAGAAATGGAAACAATTTAGAGATGTAATCTTTTATCAATAACAGGAGCGGCGCGTCGCCTGCCAGCTGAAATTATTGCTGCTCGGGCCAAATAAACAGTCACAGAGAAACTCCCGCCGAGCTGAAAATGTAAATGTTGAGGGCGCTTACGACTCTGGCCCTTTTTCACTCTCGCTCCATTGCTCTTCCAGTCGGCCCACAACACGCCTCTTTTTTTTTTTTAGTCTACACTTTCTGCCAAATTCCATCTTCTCCATGTAACATAAACATTCCAAAAATGCATAAATAATTCCAGCAGTGGGGGGTTTTAGGCTGTGAAAGCTAACAGAGGCATTGACCTTCACTCCAATCAGCTATTTAGGGTACAGCTGGGGAAATAAGGAATATACGTCTTAAAAGGCAAAAGCTAAAGGTTTTAGCTTTCTGAGGCGTCTGATGATTCCTACTTCTTGCTACTAGCATGAAAACATTCCAGAAACATGTTATAAAAATACAATGACATGCGTGACTACGTATAACATGATAGATACCACCATATTTATAAATTCTCTGGTTCAGAGCGTGTAGCATTTTGGCTAGCTTGTCTTATTTTATCTGTAAGTAAGCTGGTGTGTTCAGCAAAAGAGCTCACATAAACCTGTTGTACTAACCAAATGACAGACAGATAATGTTATCGAAGGTTACAAATGCTATGTAGCTTTTAGCAGCTAAAAAAATATATGTTTCCTTAATGTCTAGCTAGAGATAAAAACACATTAATTTTAGCAGAATGCCAGAAAATCCTGCTAATGCTAATCCATTAAGCATTAGCAGGAGTCAGTTTCACAAAGTCAGTTGTCAACTGTTAGGCCATATCAGATAAACTAAAGTAAGAATACTGTATGCTAATGCGCACAGCTTGCTTTGCTGCCCCCAAGTGACAGAAAAACAATACAAAGCCATTTTTAATTTACAGGTAATTTATTTCTTTTTTTTAGCACCACAAGTAAATATTAAACATTCCTGTACTGCAGTTTGTTGCATCTATTCTCATACTTGCCAACATTTATGAAGCAGAAATGTAGTCAGGCTTTGTTCACCATCTTTCTTCGTTCTAAGCTTTCTATTCAGGTAGGTTTAGTTAAATGACTGAGCAAAAATAGTCCCGTAAGTTCTCATTCTGAAAATAACTTGGAAATACATTTAACGTATCCAGGCATGCATTTACTAGATGAATGACACACTTCCTAGAACTGGATGAATGACTTGACCCTGAATTTTTATTACCAAGTATACCCACTATCACGGACATTTTCCTTAAAACAAGAAAAGCTACTTTACCTTGAGCAAAGGGCCTTGTTCTTTACTACAGTTAATGCCCTTACACATTCTTTGTGTCATATAGATGACTTATCAGAGAGAACCATCTATGTATTCAGCAGTGGTCAGGACTATGTCAGCTTGTTTTCCATGAGTGATGGAGCAAGTAGCTGTAATAAAATGCTTCTAAGAGGCAAGTGACCTTGGCCAGTATCTGCATCCACATCGACCTCATCTTTAATTGCGAGGGCTGCAGCACAGATGAAGAGACTTTTGTGAAAATACCTCCTTGGCAGACTATGTATCAAATCCTCACAATAAAAACCCCTTTTTACTCTTTTTGATTACTGCACTTGGCCGGTTACCACTCAATCAATTTGCTGAAATGAACTTTAGTTTAATCCGGGTTTTTTTTCCCAGTGAATCAAAGGCGGTTCAGAAGGCTGTGGTATCTGGGAGAGAAAATTGGAAAGAGGGAGGGAGGGCACGATTGAACATTAAAGGTCATCACATCTCCTATCAGATTTCTTATCAGCTCTTTTTTTCTCCTTCCAGCCTGGTTTAAGGAAGTCGACATTTGCTGATTGATGTTTTGTAAAAGACCTAGCTCCTGAATCCTTGCTCTTTCTGCTTGGTGTGCGCATCAAAGTAAGTGCGCTGTGCACTGAAACTACCAGAGCCTTGAAATAGTAGAGGCTATTCAAACAATCTAAGCAGCTGGTCTGTATGTGTTCTTTAGGCCACTGCAGAGGATAGATTTCTTAAACACCTTTTGAGAAATCTGCAAACACCAACATGTCTCACCTCTCTGCCTCCAGGCGCATCTCTTCCCGCTTCTGTCTCCTCAACTCCCTGCGCCGCTCAAAGTCCATTTCCTCCATGGTTGTGCCCTATGCGGAGACATCATAAAAAATAGACATTAATTCACTCAGTCAGCAGCCAGAAATGTGTTTTTAAAGCTATAGTCAACCTCTATATGAATATTTTTTACATACTCTAATTACGCCTGTAAATTTATTGTTATATTTGTCATATGTGTCATTCCCACCATGGAATTGATAGATAAGGCAATGCATGTGACTCTGTGATTACTTCGAACTTTTGTTACTGCTGCTGTTACTATATCAGCCGCAGGTGGTGCCAAATCAACCAAGGCGAAAATTTATAAGAATTAGAACTTTAAACACAATCTCTTTCTGCAAGCAATGACAACAACAAGTGTGAGGCCTTGTCCTTCTGTTAAGTGACACAAATTTGATGGAATCAAAGTTAACAAACTGCAGAACCAGAGAGAAAATGATAGCGAAAGCTGTATAAAGGAGGAAAGGAAAAGCCAAGGCAGGATGTTAACTCCATCCCTTACGAGAAACCCTCACTAAAAATACTCTGGAAGGGTACGTGACAGGCTGTGCTTGTGAGGCCTGAGACCACCCAGGAGCTGCTGAGCTTCCCATCACACATCTCTGTACTAAATCAACAAAAACATCCACTATACACCGGGAGGCATAGCAAACAAATGCTAACCGAGCATTTGATTGAAAAAGGTGAGAATAAAGTGATATCTAAAGACCAAGAATGTGGGGAAAGAGACACCGCTTTAAAATGCTTTTGGAAAGCCAAAAAGAAAGAATCATGCATGTCATACCTTAGTTTAGACTTCAAACAATGTATTTTCCCTTCACACCATACCAGCTCCTCACGATGCCTTCTCCAAGCAAAGACACAGAGGCACAAACTTTCAGTGATAGTCTCCCACAGTCCGGCTTCAGCTGACAGAAAAGGCGAATGTTTCTTCTTCTTTCCCCTCCCTGCTAGTCGTCCCTCCCTCCATCCCTCAGTGACCCCCACCCCTTCCTGAGCCCTCTCTCTATCTCTCCCTATCTCTACAGCTAACTTTTCCTGTGTTGTTTAACGCCATGTCAGAGCTTGGCTGAACTGTTTTCGATTTCCTGTGCCTTCTGTCTGCTTTTTCTTCTGTCCCCACAGCTTACTGCACATCAGGTACACGCGCACACAAGCGTGATAACACTACAGCAACGAGCACATGCATGGGAAATGCACAGGAGCGACATTCTCAAAGAAACCACGAGGACAAGAGGTCCCGCTAATACTCAACCTCCCCACTGCATCTTCTCACCCAGTGTCCTCCCCCCTTTCTGAGCCCGTATAGTAAACACGGCCCTGCCTCTGCACTGTGAGAGCTTTTGCTTTTGTGACGAGAAGGAGATGTTCTAAACACCGCAAGAATTCACCGTCTATGTTTAGATGCACGCTTAGTGTCATTTGTGAAACCGTGGGGAGGCAAGCTGCATTTGGACGTGGGGCTATTCGTACAACTGTAATTAAGACGAAATGAGAGCAATAACTAAAAGCGACAAGGCCTCCAAACATCACCAGTGTAATCACATACTTCCTAGAAGTAGCGACGCCAAGGGAGACAAACTTATTAGTAACACAAGCACGGCTGCGAATGAATTTGGAGTTATAGATGCAAATAACAAATGACTTATTCATTCTTGGTGTTTGGATTAGACAAAAAAATGAGCTATGAATCCTTTTTAAAGACATGTTATTTACTCTTATGCAATGATCTGTAGGTAAATTAAAATTAAGACTTAGTTTTCCAAAAGATAAGCGGATTACGTACCCAAGATTTAATTGAATAACAAACTTGAGATAATAGTGTTTTAAACTGATTTATGATGTGCGGATGGGGCTGCTTTCTGAATGAAGCAGCAGCAACATGGGGGGCTGCGTTGTACACTGACAAAAAGGGCCCACAGCAAGACGTCAGAGAGTAACTGTTGTGTACTGAAAATCACTGAGAGGACCACCCACACTTTGCAAAAGCTAACAGAGGCAGAAGACAAAGACGGCATTCCATAAAATTGAGCAACCTGAAGTCACAAGTTTGCGACATTTTTAGACCTTTTGTATAAGTTCAGACTGCCTGAGCCGGTCCGCCGTAAGACGTCTTCAACCTTTGCTGCATCAGACCATTTATTCCATCGTTTATCTCCATCTTTCCACCTCCCTTCTGTTTGTCTTTTTCCTTCTCTCCTCCCCCTCTTTTTTCTTTCCCTGTCTGCCCCAACCTTCTACAATGGCTATAATGACACATTTACCAGTTAAATTACTACCTGTCGAGACTGCCAGACCCTGGCAGAGACCCAGTGTCTAAGTGCCAACCTCTTGAAAAACCTTGAAATCCAAGTTGATTTTATCCTGACAGCCACTAGTTTTACACCACGTTGTAATGCCTCTATCGACTCGTGGGGTCTCCAGGTAAAAGCCCCCAAACAATGGACTCGGCCAAATGAGGCAAAGAGTAGATCGAGCAAAAGTCTGGGAGCTGGCCTGAAGAATAACAGGCCAGCAGTGCAGCATCTATTTTTGGCTCTGCCAAAATGTTCCTAAGTCTGTTTTAGCATTCTGTGAGAAAGGAAGAGTGCAACATTTTGGTCAGATTTGTAACTCTGATACTCGGAGCAACTGTCCCCTCATAACCTTTAGACAAGCACATTAATCTCCACATTATGGTTATGGAGCTATGTGAGGAATGCTCCGATTCAGCCTCTGATTTTAGCAGAGGGGACTTGAAAGAGTCTCTAAATTACTCATTCACATGGCAGTTATACTCAGCTCAGCTCCTAACCTTAACCCTATTTTGGTTGCTGAATAAGGGGAATTAATGTGAAGATAAACAAGTAAAAACCAGCTTTGCAAGAGTTATGTGCTTGCCAGCTTCAAGATTTGCAAATGAAGAAACAAAGGTAGCTTGCTATTCCCAAGATTGTTTTTTTTTTAAAAAGATCATTAGTTAAAAAAATTATGATGTAATCTGTTTTATACACAAATTAAACAGTAGCTATTTTATAATAAAGACAAAGCTAGTTCTGTAATTAAGCAAAAATAACTGTCTCAGATGGTGTATTTCTGTACTTACACGTCCCATTCACAGTGCCTAAAAGAGTAAATTCACACTGTTAAGTATAGCTCCATGCAGCTCCAACATATAACATAACAGTCAAGTGGACCTCTGTAGAATTCCTATCCTAAATTTTTGTTAGCGTAAAGAAAGGAGATAATATAGCTACGTCATACATGCTAATTGTGTTGCTACTGTTAGCTAACTAACTAGCAATAGCAGAATCTGATCAGATTCTGATCTGATGTTTTGGTGACTTGGTACAAGTGTATTTAATTATCATTTGCACTAGAAGAATTTAGCTTCCTAACTTATAAAGTACACCACTTATAGTGTAAGTGGTGTACTACAAAAAAGTGTACTGACGATATATAGTGAGTTGTTAACATACGACCATGCTCGCTAATATACAAGTTTTGCACATGATCATTTTATTATAGCATACCTGTTCAAGCAAATCCATATCTGATTAGACAGACACATGACAGCAATGCAGTGCATTTAGGCACACACACATAGTCAAGATGACCTCCTGTAGTTCAAACTGAGCATCAGAATGTAGAAGAAAAGTTATTTAAGTAAATGACTGCTAAAAAATGGGCTAGCCTGATTTTATGAGAAACTACTGAAAGCAGAAGAGCATCTCTGAACACAACACGTGGAAACTGATTTGCCACAGTTTGCTGTATCAGCACAGGAAAAAGGAAACTGAGGTTTACCAAAGTTAAACAATAGAAGATTGGAAAAACCTTTCCTGATTTGATGAGTCTTGACTTCTATGACATTCGAAGACAGGGTTAGCATTTCCATCAAACCATGGATCAGTTATGCCTTATATCAATGGTTCAGGCAGCTGGTGGTATAAAAGTGTGGGGGATATTTTCTTGGTACACTTGGGGCCCCTTAGTAACAACTGAGCACTGGTCATTGCCACAGGCTACCAGAGTAGTATCACTGACCATGTCCACCCCTTTATGACCACAGTGTACCCATCCTCTGATGTTTGCTTTCAGCAGGGCATGTGACATGTCAGAAAGCTCAAATCATCTCAAACTGCTTTTTTGAACAAGACAACGAGTCATCTGCAACAACTGCGTGATGCTATCATGTCAATAGGCATCTCTGAGGAATATTTCCTCTTCCTTCGTAAATCTATGTCACAAAGAATTAAGGCAGTTCTGAAAGTCACAGGGTGTCCAACCTGGCATTAGAAGTGAAAACTGTCACAAATGCTCTACCCGATCGGTGTCAGAAACCCAAACGGTACCCCGCATACGCAAATCTTACAAAGAGAGACATCATTCCTCTCTTTGCCAACATTGCGACATTCAATATATTTGAATGATACGGTTAGCGCCCAGTTAGCTCCTAGCATTTCTCAACAGCTCAGCCTCCTTTTCGACTACCAGGACATTTAACCAATGGATAATCCATATACAAACAAATTCATGCTTTTCGCCTCAACAGAGAGCGTTCCCCGATTGAACAACAGCGCCGTAAAATAAGAAGAATGGCACCTAATTACAGAGTTAATAATACAGACTTTGTATGTCACGTGAAGATTCATCAGCCAGATGAAGTGTTTACTGACAATTGACAGTGATAGCGGACATCATCATCCATCAATCGATCACTTCCAATCAATCCTCTCCACACAGACAAGCATAAACACACTCGACTATCACTAAATCAAATTTAACACACATTTGTAATGACGCTAATTCAGTTTACAATAGGGTTCATTCGCTCGGTCAGCAGGTGGCAGTATCCTCGTACACTGGGGAGTAAACTGCCATTAAAAGAACAGAAGAAGAAGAAAACCCCTGCACATGCGCGGTACGGATCACGTAGACCCGATTTGTACGGTCCGACTTTGCACATGCGCAGTATGGATCGGGGAGTCCTGATCCGTAACTATCTTTTTATTTTTCGTTTTTGTCTACATTATATTGAAATGTTTCA